GAAGGACTTAAAGAAGCTTATTGTGAAAGATATTGCTATTAATCTTGAATGGAGACCTGAAATAATTGGGAATGAGATAGAAAAATTTTTTAGAGTCAACTCATGGGTTGCTAGACAGAGAAACCTACCAAGAGATGTGGTTATTTATTTTTCTAGAAGATTTATTCGTAATGAAATTATACAGGCTTTTTATAAACAGAAGTTTCAAATTGCAGATCAAGACGTGATAATTTTAAAAGAAATACCTCCCAAGATTCTAAGAGGCAGAAAAGACTTTACTTTTCTGTCTGATGAGTTAAAACATCGTCAAATTCAGTTCAGATGGGAGATTCCAAGAGGAATAGTAGTGAATTATGATGGGACACGTCATAGATTAACTACAGTCTCAAAGGCAAGAGATTTTTATCATTCTATTTTAAAGGCAAGATCGTCTTCACCTTCACAAACAAGGATAATTGAAGAGCCTGTTATGGCAGGAGCCTCTTCAATGATGGTTATGGAATAAGCTGTACAGAACCTTGAGATAAAAGATCAAAGGATGACACGAACTGCCCACAAATGTAAAGAAAAAGAGCAGCAGCAGAAGAGTGGTGATAAGGTAGAAGGAATGGTTACTACAGAGCCTGTGGGAGGGGCAAGACCTAAAAGATCGTTGACAGTTGATCTACAGGCCATGCTCCAGAGGCTCCAGGCCGGTGGAGATGGCCAAGTTCTTGACCTGGAATGTTAATGGCTTAAATTCATCACAGAAACGGAGAAAGATTTTTCATTATTTGAAACAACATAATAATGATTTGATATGTTTGCAAGAGACTCATATAACTTCAAAGGACTCAAAATTTTTGATAAACTCTCGTTTGGGATCACATTTTATGGCTCCAGCTCCAGGGAAAAAAGAGGGTGTTGTAATTTATGTGAAGAAAATTTTTTCACCTAAACTAATTGAGGCTGACCGTGAAGGAAGATATGTCTTTGTGGAATTACCAATACAAGGCAAGAAAGTTCTTATTGTTGGACTATATGCTCCTAATCAACAACAGAATCAATTTTATAAGTTTTTGCATAGGAAGATATCTCAGTTGGATTACAAATCTGTAATTTTGATGGGTGATTGGAATGGAGTTTTAGACTCAACTATAGATAAAAAGAGTTCTTCTAAAACTTTTACTCAAACTAAATTACCCAAAACTTTCTTTGATTTGAAAGAAGAGTTGGAGCCTATTGACATTTGGCGAGAAAGGAACATAAGTGATAGAGACTTCACTTTTTATTCGGATAGACATCAGTCATTTTCAAGGATTGACTTTTTTTTGATTACTAGTGATTTCTTTTCTAGGGTGAGGAAGGTAAAAATCTTCCCCAGGACCTTGTCAGATCATAGTCCGGTGTGGATGGAGTTACATTTGGAAGATGGGAATAGAAGACCCTGGAGACTGAACGAAAATTTGTTTACTCGGGAAGAGTTTGTACAAAAATGTAAAGAGCATTTAAAGGAGTTTTTTGCTTTAAACATGAACAAGGGTACATCGATGCCCATGGTTTGGGATGCCAGTAAGGCGTATATGAGGGGAATCTTGATTCATTTAAATAAAGTTTCTAGGGACAAAAGGTTACAAAGACGTAGAGAAATAGAAGAAGAGATTAAATTAAAAGAAGAAGCGCTTATTCTTAATCCAACTGATAATAACTTAAAGGCTTCAATAAAGATGCTTAGGGAACAATTTAATATGTTGTTGGCAGATCAGGTGGCTACCAATCTGTCTTATATGAGACATAATACTTTTTGTAATGCAAATAAGCCTGGGAGGTGGTTGGCTTATCAGTTACGAAAGAAACAGAAAGCTAGGATTATAGAGAAAGTAAAATATAAAGGTACTGAGGTTTTTCAGCAAAATTTGATTAAAAAGAGTTTTTTAGATTTTTATACAAAATTATATTCAAGTGACAATATAAAGGGATTGGATATAGATAAATATTTACAATCAGCACATTTTCCTAAACTTTCTGAGGAACAACAAAATGGGATGAATTGTTTAATTACTGTGGAGGAAATTGGTTTAGCTATTAAGCAGTTAAAGGTGGGAAAGTCTCCAGGAACAGATGGATTGACATACTATAAGATTTTATCTGAAGAAATGATGGAGCCATTAAAGGAGCTTTTTAATAGTATTTTGTTGGGAGCACAAGTTCCTCCTTCTTGGAAAAGAGCTTTTATATCACTGATTCCAAAGGAGGATCAAGATCTCACAGAGCCCAAGAATTATAGGCCAATATCATTGTTAAATGTTGATTATAAGATTTTCACTAAAATTTTGGCAAATAGATTAATGCAGGTTATGAAGGATTTGATTCATAGTGATCAATCAGGATTTATAACAGGGCAATATATGAAATATAATGTAAGACAAATCATAAACTTAATTGAGTATTTGGATAAGAATAATCAGATTCCTGTGGCTTTTATATTTTTGGATGCTTAAAAAGCCTTTGATCAACTAGATTGGCAATTTTTATTTTCATTGGTAGAGAAAATGAATTTTGGGGATAAGTTTTTATATGCACTTAAAGCTATATATCAGCAACAATCTGAACAAATTGTTGTAAATGGGGGACTGACTGAGACTTTTAATATTGAAAAAGGGACAAGACAAGGATGCCCATTATCTCCATTGTTATTTGTTTTAATGTTGGAAATTTTGTTGATCCAGATTCGAGAATCAACGGTAGTCAAGGGTATAAAGATAAGGAAGAATGAATATAAACTGCGGGCTTTTGCGGATGATTTGGTTTTAATTTTGGAACAACCGAATCAAACAATTGATTGCTTATTAGAACTTATAACACAGTATGGGAATGTTTCTAGTTTTAAAGTTAACAATTACAAGACTAAGATATTACCTAAGAATATGTCAGTTAAGGATAGGGAAAGTCTGATTAAAGCTACAGGTTTTCAGATGGTAAAAAAGGTTAAATACTTGGGAGTATATTTAACTGCTTCAAATGGGAAATTGTATAAGAACAATTATGAACCATTATGGGCAAAAGTACAAAAGGATTTAAAGGATTGGAAAAAATTGCAATTGTCATTGTTGGGGAGAATTTCAGCTGTAAAAATGAATGTTCTATCAAAGTTTCTTTTCTTGTTCCAGATGATACCTATTTTTAAAAAAAGAGGGAAACTTGGAGGAATGGCAGAAGAGTATTAACAATTTTATTTGGGCTTGGAAAAAAACCAAGGGTTAAGTTTAAGATTTTGCAAGACGCCCGAGAAAGAGGAGGACTTAAGGCACCTAATTTGAAATTATATTATGATGCAGCTGCTTTAACTTAGATAAGTGATTGGCTTAATTTAACAAATAAGGATATTCTTTTTCTGGAAGGCTGGGATTTAATGTACGGTTGGCATGCATACTTAATTTTTAATAAGAAAGTCGACCGAATTTTTAAGTCACATATTCTGAGGAATGCCTTACTTCATGTTTGGAAAAAGTATTATTATAGGTTAAATTATAAAATACCTATCTGGGGGATTCCCAGATATGCAATTGAGGGAACCTCCAAGGGGATGAACTTTGATAGAATTTCATATAAAAATTATTAATTTGGTCAGGTTTGGATTGGCATTTAAAATCGCTAGATGTATTAAGGCAAGAAAATATTCTACAGTCATGGTTTCAATATTTACAAATGGTGGACAGGTGGACTGTAGATAAGAAAGAGGGAATAACATTAGAAGATAAACAATTGGTTATTCAGATTAAAAATCAGAGTCAGGCCCATATAAAAAGAATTTACAATGTTTTATTAGAGTTAGACTCGGAAACAGAATTGGTTAAAGACTGTATGATTAAATGGGCTCAAAATATACAGGAACCGATTTCATTGGATTTATGGGAGACAATTTGGACTAGAAATGTTAAATTTACACAAGCTCAAAATTTGAGAGAAAATTTTTATAAAATGTTTTACAGATGGCACTTAGATCCTAAAAAATTATCTTGTATGTATCCTAACATACAGCCCAAATGTTGGAGATGTGGCAATAAGAATGCGACATATTTTCACATTTGGTGGAATTGCAAAAAGGTAAAGGCTTTTTGGATTATGATTTGGTGGAACATTCAAAAGATTTTTAGAAAGAAGATAAAGTTTACTCCTCAACTATTTTTATTGGGTATTTTTGTGGGTCTAAATGACAAAGAAACTACTTTAATGTTGAATTTATTAACTGCAGCAAGGTTAATAGTAGGTTCATATTGGAAGAAAGATTCCTTGCCTACCTTAGAAGAATGGATATTTAAAGTTTCTAGTTTTGCAGAAATGGCAAAAATTTCTGCTTATTTGAAGGATTATACACAAGAAAGATATATTATTGTATGGAGAAGATGGATAGATTATATTCAGAAAAAGTATGGAACTATAAAGTTTCATTTACTTTATGAGTGAATTTTATAGTAAATGTTATAGAGATTTGTTTATGATGTTATTGGAGTTAAAGGTTAAGTATGATATTTTTTTCTCTTTTTTCTTTTTCTTTTTCTTTTTTATTGTCAACTTTGTCATTAATAACCCTGTATTCTGCTCTGGGAAGTGAGGGGAGGGGGGTTGGGGGTGGGTGGGTGGAAGAGTGGGTGGTAAGGAATAAAATAAAAATAAAAAAGAAATAGAAAAAAGATACCACTTATGTGCATTTTGACATACCACTTATGTGCATTTTGACATACATTTATGAAAAAAGGCAGACCAAGCACTTCTGATTTAGCAGGTGCATAAATCATAGTAATCCAAAATGTATGATTTTATGAAAAGTATGCTGCCTTCAGCTTTTGGAGGAAATGTAGGTAAGAAATCAAGTAACTAAATCAATATTCTGCTGAAATACAAACTTTGTAGGGGACCTCAGAATGGTTTAAAAATTCAGAAGGGAATAAATTAAATTCCTTTTAACTTCTCTAAGTTGCTTCAGAGACTTATGCAAGGACATATCATACTAATTCAGATCAGCAAACTTTTTCTGTTTATGCTAAAAACTGCAAAAAAGCAGGGATTGAAAATTAGAAACCAGCTGTGAACTTAAAACAGTTGAGCATAAGCGTTAGGAACCACATGTGGTCAGGCAGATTAATGAAGAAAATAAAGCAGTCGTTTTGGTATTTAAATAATATAATTAATCATGGGATTGATTATTAAAATACAGTTATTGCTCGCATTAGATTCTGCAAATAAAATTGACCAAAACTTATGATTTTTACTGCCATTATTATTATTATTAAACAAACCATTATACAGCTGGGGAAAAAAGGCTGCTGCCTAGAAAACCTGTCAATACAATTTGGTTTTTAAAGCATAAGAGAATTGAGTGTCTCTTTCTTCTTACTCCAACTGTGAATTATATTAAATTTCTACAAGGATTGTTTCCAAGGTAAGTAAATATTTGCTTTATACTATGTTAGTTTTGGTTATTTTAGCTGTTAACCTGAAATAAATTACTTAAAGGGGTAGAACAACTTTAAATAACTATTATACAACAAGTCATCTTGTTTTACAACAGTATGATATGGGGGGTTAAAATGATTAGTTAGGCTATGTACAATCCAGTTCCATTGATTTTTCCCAGAACTACTTCATTTAAAATATCCATTTTCTTCCCTTTCCATTTCCAGTCAGGGTCTTCCCCTTTGCCCTTGTTTTTCATTCTGTTTTCAATCCAGCACGTGTTCTGAATAGCTGTCAAGCATGGAGATGGATGGGCGCAAGAAAAGTTCTGAATTTTATACAAAGTCTTGTTTTTCTTATTCTTCTTATTCAGTTCTAAAAACAAAAGCAGTGCAATAGTATAACTAATTTTTTTTTAAAAACCCAGAAAATATTTGGAGATGGTAGTGGGGGGAAATGCAGAAATCAAATATAAGTATTGCATGTAGCTGGATTTCTGGTCCCCAGAACGTATTCATTCTGCAAACAAAAGGTGTTATCAGGTTGTAGTTCACCTGCAACAGATTTTATTTTGTCATTAAAATCTGCCATTTTTTGAAACTAAGGAAATTGTAATTGTTCAATGATAGAAGATCATCTCTACCGGGATGTCTTTATTTAATGGTGATATTTTGCTTACATTTTAGAAATTTAAAGAAATTCCAGTAACTTTAAAAATGTTTGTGCGTACATATATAAATGATCATGTGTTTCAGGCTTATTCTTGGCTTTTCTAATTACCGACTATTACCTTTCAGTTTTGCTCAGAAATAAATCTGAACACATTGAGTTGCTTATTCAGAAAATTATGAAAATAGATGAAAAAACGTGGATGCAAATATCTATTAATTTGATGACTGTGTGTTAAACTAAACATCTCTTAATTTTGCTTCTCTTTCTAAAACTATAGATAGTGTTGTATTAGGGTTAGGGTTGGTTTTGTATTAAATAGCAGGATGAATACAGCGCCATAAACTTAAGGGATAGCATCATGCCAATAATAGTCCAAGATTATTTTTAAGCATTAACCAACAGTCCTGTATATTTATTCAATCATATAATATAAATTTGCTCCAGGAGTATTTAATTCTGAGGCAGATCAGGTTGTACATTAAATACAATTGTTAATTTTTTTTTTTTTAAATAATTTTTTTTATTTTTCCAAACTCTCCCCCATACATATACCGTGATATTTATCAGATGTTAACATACATTCTTTTAACATTCATATATAAGATACTTTTAATAAAATGAAATAAATACATACACATGGCTTTTGGTGTTGCTCGCCCATTTCCCCTTTCACTGTATCCACACTCCTTCTTCTCTACCTTCTTTCTCCCTTTCTTTCCTTCACCACTCTCCTCCCCTTTCTCCCCACTTCTCCTCTTCTCCTCCAACCTTCCTACTTCCTTCTCCCCTCCTTTACTCTTTTCTCTCTCCTCTCCTTTCTTCCCTCTCATCCCTCTTCAGATACAATTCAGGGGTAATGTCCGAGCAACTCCTCTCTCCAAATTTCCCTATCTGTATTATATACAATAAGATTAATTTTCTCTTACATTAATACTTCTATTTATCAGGCTGCAGCATTATCATGAATGAGAGAATGGATCTTACTGAGGAATACAAGATTACTGACATTAGAGGGACATGATTTACAGTTGGGATGGCATGCTTCCATATCGTATGGAAAAAACAGAATACATAGCTATTTCCAGAGATACCATATAAGGAATTCGTTATTTGTGGTCTGGGAGAAAGTAAAGAGAAAGCATTATTTGAAGATTCCAAATTGGCTCTCAACTATGGAGGCGCTAATACACCCCAATATGTTTAACATGGGAAACATTATAAGATATAAAGACTTACTAGCAGATATGGGGGAGTTGAAAACCAAACAACAATTAGAAGAACAAAGAATAAAGATGGATTGGTACATGAGAACGCAAATACAATCTAGATATGAAAAAGATGTTAAAATGGATGGTGTTAATTTGGGGACAACAGAGTTAGATGAAATACTCACAGGAGCGGAAGAAAAATGGATTAACAAATATACAGTTATCTATTACATATGGAGTTAGAGGAGGAACAAGTGAAAGAGACAATGATAAAATAGACAAGGAATTTTGGATACACAATTGAATTAAATAGATGGCAGCAACTACGGAAAAGAAACTATAAATTGACAATGGTGACTGCATATAAAGAAAATATGTATAAAATGTTTTACAGATGGCACATGTCTCCAGAAAGATTAGCTAAAATGTTTAAGGACAGATCTATGAAATGTTGGAAATATCACCAGATACCAGGTTCCTTCTACCATATGTGGTGGACGTGTGTAGAAGCTAAACATATTGGAATATAATTAGAACATGGATAGAAAAGATGATACAACAACGTATAGAACTAAGACCAGAAATATTCCTGTTGGGTATTCTACCAGGGAAATACAATAAAGAGAAAACATATTTAATTATTCATATAATTACGGCAGCCAGGATTGTGTTTGCACAAAATTGGAAAGCACTGAAAGCCCCCCCCCCTCCGAGGGAGAGATGATTGGGAAAATACTGGAATGTGCAGAAATGAATAGACTAACAATGACAATTAAAGATAAAACAGAGTCAGACTACTATGAAATCTGGGGAACTTTTTATGATTGGCTGAAAAGAGAATACGGTTAAAAGATAGTTAACATCAATTTAGATGGAAGAAGGAGCAGATAAGGAGGGAGACCCAGGTGACACAGTATTGAATAACTGGAGGTTGTATAAATATTTATAGCAGTATATACCGAGAAGGTTACAATTGTTAAATTCTTAAGCTAGTTCAAAATTACTTATTGGTTTTGCTGCCTGCAAGCAGTAAACTAACATAGTTATTCATTTGGGAAGATTTATTGCCAAAAGATTTCTATCACCTTATTCAATTATCTTTACTCACTGATGGCAATAAACTCTATACATTCATTTTGTGTTGTACAAAAAAAAAAGTTGCTTTTCCTTATCTATGCTTTGGATTTTTGCAGATATAGGGGAAAAAATCTGGACATGATGTTTGAAGAAAACACCACCACAGTCGTCAAGGACTTCATATTTGTAGGTTTAACAAGCAGTCCTAAAATGCAGATCATCCTCTTTTTAATATTCTTTCTCATTTATGTAACTACTTTGATTGAAAATCTAGGAATAGTTGCTTTAATAGGAACCAGTGCCTGTCTCCATACCCCTATGTATTTCTTTCTCAGCAGCTTATCCATTCTGGATGCATGCTTCTCTTCTGTGTTTGCTCCAAAGATGTTAGTGAACTTTTTGGCAGATAAAAACTCAATTTCCTATACTGAATGTGCAATACAGATGTACTTTTTTATAGGTCTAGGGAGTGCAGAGTGTTTTCTCCTTGCTGCAATGGCTTATGACCGGTATGTAGCTATCTGCAAACCCTTGCTGTATCCTGTCCTCATGTCTCCCAAGGTCTGTATTCTTCTGGTGGCAAGTTCCTATGTTCTTGGTCTTTTTCATTCTCTTATACATACTATTTTTACTTTCCAACTCTCATTTTGTGGTTCAGTTATCGATCACTTTTTTTGTGACATCACTGCACTGCTATCACTTTCGTGTTCTGATACTTACATCAATGAACTTCTGATCTTTTATGTAGCTGGGCTTGTAGAAGTAATCACCATCCTGAGTGTAGCAATTTCTTATGTATACATTCTCACCAACATTGTAATAGGAATTCACTCTGCCGCAGGCAGGATCAAAGCTTTCTCCACTTGCACTTCACACCTCACTGTAGTCACCATCTTCCATGGGGCAATCCTTATTTTACACTTCCAACCAAAATCTAGCAACAGATCACCTCATCAAGATATGAGTGACAAAATTCTTGCTGTTTTCTACACAATTGTTATCCCCTTACTGAACCCTTTGATTTATAGCCTTAGAAACAAAGAGGTCAAGGATGCCTTAAGAAGTTCTTGGAGAAGAACCTGGGTCAAAATAACTAGATTTTTTTTTGTTTAAAAAAAGCAACAGCTTTCCTAATTTAGAAGAGCCATGGTTTTGTAGTTAATCTGTAATTTTTTTTTCTGAAATATAAAAGTGGAATGTTCTTTGCTATAAATGATTCACTGTATTCTCAACTATTCTTCTTTCTGTGTACTTGATGACAAAGTGTTAGGCTCTCCTCTGAAGATCTCTTTTTTCTCTAGGCACAAGGTCAAGAGATCATGGGTTCGTGTTTAGCAATAGCATGTAGACTTATATACCACTTCACAGTGCTTTACAGCCTTCTCTGTGTGGTTTATAGAGTCAGCATATTGCTCCCAACTATCTGGGCCCCTCATTTTACTGACCTCCAAAGGATGGAAGGCTGTGTCAACCTTGAGCCAGTCAGGATCAAACTCCTGGCAGTGGGAAAAGTCAACCTGCAATATTACGTTCTAACCACTGTGCCACCAAGTTTATGAGTGTTTTATAGTTAATTGTCTAATTGCTAATTTAAAATAAAAATGATTTTTATGGATTTGTTATTTTGATATTTTTAGTCCTATGCAAAGTCATTTGATTAGGAGGGAGCCTTAAAAATCAATCTATGTATATCTTCACTCTGAGCTGTAAAATCAATTGGTGGATCCTCTAACATTCTCCATGCATTTCCATTCTACGTGACACATGTTGTCAACTGTCCCATTTGGCACATCCAAGAAAAGAAACTCCTGACACCTAGGAACTACCAAGAGTAAAGCTTTATGGAAAAATCCATTTAGGCACAGCTTAAGCAAAGTCATCTCTGAGGTTTTTCTGTGAAAACCCACATGGGTAAAACCCCCTTTTCACCTCTGAGCTGCCCACAGTTCAATGTCCACCAATTACACTCAATGCTTTTATTTTGGGAAAACATTCTACTCTAGGTGGTAGCTCTGAGAACTTGGCCTTGGTGGGTATCTCCTCTCTGGCAGCAGAAGGCTCTCATGCATTCCTTAGCCTCCCCCCACCCTAGGAATTTACCAACACCTCCCCCCCCCCCCCGCCCATTTCTGTTTGACAAACTGCAAGCTGGAAGTTGATGCAGGCAATGAAGAAAGCAAGTCAGCTTTGGCACGTGTGCTCCTTGTAGATTTTTCCTAGGAATAGCTCATGGCAGATTAAGTACCTGTGTCTTATGCAAAAGAGAATCTTCTAGGTGTCAGTATAAGGCTCTCCTTCCTCTCCTTTTACTTGGTTTCCCCTATGGGCTTTCCAGTAGCTGGATTAGCTGGACGACACCAGCATTCCAGCTACAAAGGAAGAACACATTCTGGTAGGTATATGTGAAGGAGCTGAACACCTGCTGTGATGTGCTGCAAAGCTGGAAAAGGCAGAAAGTGTGAACCATTTGTATTCCTGGGAAGATCATCATCGCTCTAAGGTAGTGTAACAGACTCTTAGAAATCGAGCAAAGCAATTCTCCAGCTCAACTCACAACTGGGGTAAATTAAATGTAGTTACTCAGAATCTCTTTCTGTTGTTTCCCCAGTGGACTCAAGAATCCTTTTGTAGCAGACCTGTTTCCCATTATATATACATTATATATAGTCCTCGACATACGACCACAACTGAGCCCAAAATTTCTGTTGCTAAGGGAGACATTTGTTAAGTGAGTTTTGTCCTATTTTACAACCTTTCTTATCACAATTGTTAAGTGAATCACTACAGTTGTTAAGTTAGTAATATGGTTGTTAAGTGAATCTGGCTTTCTCATTGACTTTGCTTGTCAGAAGGTCGTAAAAGATGATTACATGACCCCAGGTATACTGCAACTGTCATAAACATGAGTCGCTTGTGAAGGTCTGAATTTTGATCCCGGGACGATGGGGATGCTGCAATGATGATAAGTGTGAGAAACCATCATAAGTCACAAATTATAACGAATGGTTGTATGTTGAAGACTACCTGTATTATATATATGTGAAACACAAACACACAGAGACATAAATGTTTAATATATAAGTGTTTAATATTAATATTAAATATAATAATTATATTGCATCATATTTAATATTACATATATAGAATACATAATATATATTAAAATTAAATATAATAATATACACAATATATATTAAAGTTTTTTCTTAATATAACAGTCAGAAATAATTGCTTTTTGTTTCTTTTTATTCCCCCCCCCCTTTATTCCCTCTATAGTCTTTCCTATCCCATTTTTCCATTGTCTGTTTTCCCCCTTAACTATCTTGCTCTCTCCCCTGTGTTCTCATAGTCTGATGGGCATTCTGCCAGGTGTATATTGAATTATCCATAGATGGTACCACAATCAGCCCAGAAATGAACAAGTTATGATAGAAGTGTGTAGTGGGGTGTCCCAGGGCTCTGTTCTAGGCCCAGTGCTCTTCAACATCTTCATCAACGATCTGGACAAGAGGATAGATGGGGAATTCATCAAATTTGCAGATGATACCAAGCTGGCAGGAATAGCCAACACTCCAGAAGACAGGCTTAGGATACAGGAGGATCTGGACAGACTTGAACACTGGGTGCTATCTAACAAAATGAAATTCAATGGTGAAAAAAGTAAGGTTCTACATTTAGGCAAGAAAAACCAAATGTACAGGTATAGTATAGGGGGTACCTTGCTCAATAGTAGAAACTGTGAGAAAGATCTCGGAGTCTTACAGGACAATCATTTAAATATGAGCCAGCAGTGTGCTGCAGCTGCCAAAAAAGCCAACACAATGCTAGGCTGCATTAGCAGAGGGATAGAATCAAGATCATGTGAAGTATTAATACCACTTTACAATGCCTTGGTAAGGCCACACTTGGAATACTGCATCCAGTTTTACTCACCGCGATGTAAAAAAGATGTTGAGACTCTAGAAAGAGTACAGAGAAGAGCATCAAAGATGATTAGGGGACTGGAGGCTAAAACATATAAGGAATGGTTGCTGGAATTGGGTATGTCTAGTTTAACAAAGAGAAGGGCGAGGGGGGACATGATAGCAGTGTTCCAATATCTCAGGGGCTGCCAGAAAGAAGAGGGAATCAAGCTATTCTCCAAAGGACCTGAAGGCAGGACAAGAAGCAATGGGTGGAAACTAACCAAAGAGAGAAGCAACCTAGAACTAAGGAGAAATTTCCTGACAGTTAGAACAATTAATCAGTGGAACAACCTGTCTCCAGAAGCTGTGAATGCTCCAACACTGGAAGTTTTTAAGAAGAAACTGGACAGCCGTTTGACTCCTCTGATGAGACCTGTACAGTATGGTTGAACCTCTGGCATAGCTCTCATCTTCCTCAGAGTACACAAGCCCCACAACCACGTCAAGGTAGTGCCTCACTGGGGGTTATTATTATTATTATTATTACTATTATTATTATTACTATTATTATTATTATCTACATTGACCTTCTTACCAGGCTTGAACTGCATGGACACCAAAAACTTCATTGTAAACATTTCTTTGTTTCAATAATTTATAAGGCCACTCCGTTCATTCTATTAACTCTGAGTGTTATACAACAAAAATAAAAAAATAAGAAAAAAATGATAAATTATTAAAAGATAGCAGGGTTCTTGGGGAAAATAAGAGAAGGAAAGATTATTATATATGTTTTCTGCCTAGAATTATTTATAAAAATAATAAAGGTGGGATAAAATAAATAAAATTATCACACACACACACACACACACACACACACATATATATATATATATAAAGGTGGGATAAAATAAATAAAATTATCATATATATATATATTCTGTGTTTTTTCTTTCCTCACATAGAACTGATTGCTTAACTAAACTCTAGTTTAGCTTAAGTAGTCTAAGACACTTTTGAGTCTGAAGAATATCACAGCCTCTCTAGAGACTGTGAAGGATGCTAAGATGTTCTCCAAGCACCCAGAACCTGGAGAGATGAGGTTTGTCCTCTGGGAAAAGACACTTCTGCTTGGATATGCATATAAACCAGTCCTTTTATGACACCAGTTCATATATTTGATAGGGAGCTTCAGGGTAAGAATGTTTTTGCGTTGGGAAATGATGTAATGGTGTGATGGCTGTCTCCCTCACTGGCCTTAACTCTTCTATGGACCTTGAATTCTGGAATTGTTTTGACCCTCTGAGGTTCTTGGCAGTCTGCTCATCCCTGTGTCCATTGATTTTATACACATTTTGTATAGTGATACAGCATCCCTATTGTTGAGGCTTAGGATATTTCTAAGAAAAGACTTTGTTCTGAAGAGCTTTGAAAGGAGAAGAGATGATGCTTCCCAGTGGCTCAGTCATCTAACAAGCAGGGTTCTGTATAGTGAATTCAAAATGGCAGAGTAGGAATTCTGTCTATAAAAAAGAGCCTGCCAGGAGCTAGAGCTAAACTAAACTTGGATTTCATATGGACTGTGCAGGGGCTTCTTTTCTGTTTATTCTACAAAAAGCTAACAGTGGCCCAAATCAGACCAGGATCCCCAGGAGTCTCCATTCTCATTAAAATGATCAGGTATTTAATTTTCTGGAATATGTATTATACTGTTTCTCAGATTAAATCAATACTTCATTTAATCCCTTGCATTACCGAAAGTCTCATCTCTATTAATTTTAGGAAGTGGAGAGAAAAGAGAACATTACAAAGGTAATATTTATGAATGAATTTTTAATAGCCCCAACAGTAGCATTTAAATGTTCATTAGGTGTTCATTAAATAAACTAAATAGCTTGATCATGTAGATTGAATTGTAAAAATGTGGAGAAAGTTTTGAACTTGAATTCAGAAACAAATAATTGGAAGGGCTAAATTCCTTCCTTCCTTCCTTCCTTCCTTCCTTCCTTCCTTCCTTCCTTCCTTCCTTCCTTCCTTCCTTCCAATTTAAAAAACACAATGATATTCATACAGTTGAATAATTAATGATATATGAAAAGTAACAATGAATTTCCCACTATGGCTATTTTTTTTCACTGTCCCCAGTATATTTAAAAATCTGCTTCCAAACATATATTTAGTTTAAACATGTATCTGATCAAACTACGTCTTCCAACTAAGCTTACATAAACTCTCTATCTACTCCAATCTTTGCATGTTTTGATGCAAAGCCTGATGCCTTTTGCATGTTTTGACTATTGCTCCCACTACTCACAACCATCATACCAATGTAACTGGTGGAAAGGTAGAAAATATAGCCCAGCATATTGGGCAGCAAGAAAGTGAGGCAGAAAACTTTACGTTTCACTTGCTGTTTGGAAGAATGTTTTTGGTGAACTCAAAAAGAGATCTCAATTTCTTGTGACTTTTTCCATCTAATTTTCTAAATAGACTCTTAAGAAGAATGCAAGTTACATTTTGAGTAAAATTCATTCTACATTCTTCATAAATTTCCTTGCACTTCTATATAACTCAAACTCGTGGTCATCCCTAGATTTGGAATCCACAAATTCCCTGAATCACTCATATGAATTATTCAAAAACGTTTGCTTTTCTTCATCTTCCACATTTTTTTTTTTTACCTTGCAGGTCTGGAAGGAAAATGACAGAGGAAAACAGCACCACAAAAATCAATGATTTTGTCTTTATAAGTTTCACCAACAAGCCTGTCTTGAAGATCACTCTATTTTTAGTGTTCCTGATCTTTTATATGGCTACATTGGTGGGCAATATAGGAATGATTGCTTTAATAAGGGCCAGCCCCCAACTTCACACTCCAATGTACTTCTTTCTCAGCAACCTGTCCTTTATAGATTCATTATTCTCCTCTGTGGTTGCCTGTAAGTCTTTGGCAAATCTTCTGGAAGATAAAAAATCCATTTCCTTTATTGGGTGTGCTATGCAGATGTACTTTGTCATAGGCCTGGGAAGTGCAGAGTGCTTTCTCCTTGCTGCAATGGCCTATGACCGATACGTGGCTATCTGCAAACCCTTGTTGTACCCACTCCTCATGTCACCCAGAGTCTGCATTCTTCTGATGGCAAGTTCCTATCTCCTGGGCTTTTTGCATTCCCTTCTCCATACTGTTTTCACTTTCAGATTATCCTTCTGTCAATCTGAGATCAACCATGTATATTGTGACATCACAGCCCTTCTATTGCTCTCCTGTACTGACACTCGCCTAAATGAACTTCTGATTTTTTACGTGGCTGGACTTGTAGAAGCAACTACCGTGCTAAGTGTTTTTCTTTCATATATGTATATTCTTGCCAACATTGTGAGGATCAGCTCAGCTTCAGGCAGGTTGAAAGCCTTCTCCACTTGCACTTCGCACCTAATTGCAGTTACCATCTTCCACGGAGCAATCCTTATTTTACATTTCCGACCAAAATCAAGTAGTGGATCTCCCATCCACGATGTGAGTGACAAAATTCTTGCCATCTTCTACACTATTATCATTCCCTTGCTGAACCCTTTGATTTACAGTCTGAGAAACAAGGAGGTGAAGGATGCCTTCAGATGCTCTTGGACAAGAGCATGGACACAATAAATACATATCTTTTTTTAAAAAAACAAACAGCTTTATTTATTCATTCATCAGATTTTTATCCCACTTTATTACTTTATAAGTAACTCAAGGTGGTGAATATACATCCCTCCTCTTTTGCCCACAACTATCTTATGAGGGACAATAAGTGCCCAAAAGTCAACCAGCGGGCTTTCAGGCCTAAGGCGGGACTGGCACTCAGAGTCTCCTGATTTCTAGGCCAGCATCCTAACCACTACACCAAACTGGCTGTTTTTCCTGATTTTTTGGGGAGCGGGGGCATTCTGTTGTAATTAAACTATAAGCAATTTTCCCCCAAATACAGAAATAAATGTTCTCAATACCTTTCTGTGAGGTAGGTTGGGCTGAAAGACCCTGTCTGCTCTGAAGTCACATACTGAGCTTCTGTACCTCATGGAAGATTTGCACCTAGGTTTTTTTGAGAAGGAAAGTCTTCCAGCGGTCAGTATAAGGTTCCTGTTCCTCTCCTTTTAGATTTTTTCCCCCTCTGAGATTTCCAATAGTTGGATTAGCTGAACCACACCAGCATTTCAGCTACAAAGGGATAATACCTTCTGGTGGGTGTATGTGTATCAAGAGAAGAAACTGTATTTGTGTGTTGGAGAGCAAGAAAAATGAAGGCTGCAGCATGAGAAAAGGGAAGTAACAGCAGGACAAAGGTAACTTGGTGAGATGATTGGAGCCAGGGTGCAAAATGCAATGGGTGATTGAAGGCAGGAAAAAGTGGAGCAGAGGCAGCAGAGTTTGCTGGCCATGCCAATTGCAACAACCTTTAGCCCCTCCCACCAAAGACTGAGTGATTGAGAAAAAAGGGAATCCCAGCAGCTTCATCTCAGATTTGAGATGTTGAAGGAAAAGTCTTCATCAAGGTTCAGTCCAAGCCAGGAATAAACAACATGGTGACTGCTTTCGAAGGAAGGTTGCAGTTTATTGAAGAGAAGAGCCAGACAGAAAGATGGCTCTGGAATAAAAAAGGGAGAGCACATGTAGGGAGTGGGTTTTATACCCTCTGGGGCTCTTGAAGTTGTTTCCTGTTCCTGTTTGAGGCTTTGTATTTCCTGTGTCATATACTTTGAACTGAGTCTGAGTGTGCCCCTTTGGCATTTGTGGGTTAATCCTATTATGTCCTGTCTTAGAGTTTGGGTGGGGTATGTAGATTTTAGGTGTCTTTGTCTTCCTAAGCTTCTAGCTGGAGGGCTCCAACCTTCTTGAATGAATTATTTACATCTGCATTTCTACAGAGCTGGTTTCTGCTTGAGGGAGGGAGACTTGAGGCTATTAAGAAAAATTGGGCATGCTTTTCTGCCTCTTTAACATCCTTTGAGGAAATATAATATTCTGTCCTTTTAACATTTCCTTCTCTGGGGAGGCTGACTTCCCACAGAGGCAATCCATATTTGGCTGAAAAACCTCAAAATGTAAACCAAACCTAGGTTTTAGTAAAATAAAAAATGAAATGAAATGGTATTATTTAATGTTTTATTGCAAATAATAGCTTATATCAATATTAGTTATTTATGGTATGATAAAGCAAACATGAGTATATGAAATAGATGTAAATTTAGGCTAAGATGGAAAATACATTTGAAGCTTCAGCACAAGAGGCATATTACAGAAGATAATTGATAACTAAACACAAATGGTTAATTTTTGGTGACATATTAGAATTTTCTCAAGGAGAATGCAAAATGATGTGAAAAGAAGATTTGGCCTAGAAGAACATACTTGTTAGTGGTTTTCCTATGTACTAGAGAAATTTAATGAAGATAAAAGAATTTTTAGTTTTGAATATTGAAAGACTGAATCTGAAACAGAACTGTATACAAATGATGAACATGTTATTGTGATTTTTACTGAAATAACAGTGCAAATAAACAAGGAACAGACAAAAAACAAGGGTAAGTATATTTGATAAAATGGGCTGAAATTGGTTACAATATACAAAGGAAATAATGGGAGATTGTTGTGGATGTAATGTGAAGAAATTTTCAAGTTTTGTTACAACCTTAAAGATATTTTTTATAAAAAAAATGTATTGTAAAATGTATAAAGGTATTTCAAATTTAGGCTGGAAATGTAAACAACAAGAGGGAGTTTCTACCATACTTATTGGATGCTTAAAAATGGATTCAGTTACATACATTGATTTAGAAGATTTTATAGATTAAGGGAGGACAGTCCTCTTTTTGTGAGTTCTGTCCTCCCTCAAAAAGTGTCCTCCTACCTGTCCTCCTTTTCGATATTTGAAGACTAATCTGCAAGGCTTTTTTTTTCTCATAGAACGCTCAGAATGGCTTTCCGGCACCTTTTTTTGATGTTTTTTTTTCAATTTTTGCATGAACTGTGCTACTCCTATTGGCTTTTGAAAGCCAATAGGAATTGCTGCTGAGCACACCAAAACACCCGGCCAGCAAACTTTGCTCATGTAAGTTGTCTGCAGCGAAGGCGAATTGGCAGGAACTTTGCACCCCACCCTGCTACCCAACTACATCATCTCCTAGTTAATCCAGAAGATACCTGGAGGAGACTGGAGCAGCGATGCCACAGTAACTTTCTCTTAATCTTCGGCCCTGCTAGGGCAATAATGGCTGTGGGCACAAGAGGCAGGAGCGGCGGGGCTGCTACAGGCGAGGGTGTGAGGGGTGGCGGTGGCCAGCTGCCCTCCGTGCTGTGGGAGCCTGCTGCCCTCCGTGCTGTGGCCAGCTGCCCTCCGTGCTGTGGGAGCCTGCTGCCCTCCGTGCTGTGGCCAGCTGCCCTCCGTGCTGTGGGGGCCTGCTCTACATGGGGTTGCTCAGGGTGGGTGGTGGTGCTGGTGGGGCAGCTGCAGGTGGGGTGTGTCGACAATGGGCTGCCCCCTGGGGCAGGAGCCAGGGCAGCTGGTGCTTTGGGAGCCGCGGGGCCTACTCTAAACAGCGGAGCAGAAGTGCTGGCGGGGCGGCTGTGGGTGGGGACGCGGCATGTAAGCATAATTACAATATAAAATGTTATTGTTACAAATGTTTTTTATTATGCATTTATCATATTATAGTGTATTCTGTATTATTGTTGCAATGAATAAAATGTTTCTTTTATTTACGAAATTTTTTCTTGAATTTATTTGTGTCCTTTTCATTGTAAAAAAGTTGGTCACCTTATAGAAACAAGAGAATAAGTTGTAACCATAGAATAAGGGGTAAATTTATATTTGTACTTATAGCTGCTGTAAAGAAAATTGGAAGCTACATTTTTTTGCCCTTTTTGTTTTCTTCTTTTTTTTACTTTTTTTACTTTTTTGCACTTTTACCTTCCTCTTTGATTTCTTCTTTTTTCTAACTTATATTAGTTTGCCTAAGTTTTCAACTTCCTTTTTAAAACTCTTCAATAAAAATAATAGAAAAAAGATATGATACAGAGACAGAACCAATTAAAAACTGTATGATAAAATGGATACGGAATTTTAAAGAATCAGTTACAACACGACAATGGGAAGAATGATGGACTAAAAATCTTTAAAATTTACACCAACCTGTAACTTTAAAAAATGGCTACAAAATATTGTATAAATGTTATACAACTCCATCCATAATAGCTAAGATAGATAAATCATATAGCAATAAATGTTGCAAATGCCATGACAGTGGACCTGTTAAAAAAACCCTGAAGCAGTGGAAAGATATGCATAGTACAATGCAGATTTTTTTTTTAAATTTAAGTTTGAAATGAAATCACAAATTTCTTTATTGAGCATAGTTTCAAAAAATCAACTAGAAAGATCATAATTTAATGATACATAGAAAAAGAGATGATGGCTTGTTTCAATTTTAGGGGAAAAAAATAGATGTGTGCAGCCTCAGGGATGAAATTTATTCGTGAGCATAAAAGGGCCATGTATCTACTAATTAGTGACATTGGTATCTGTTTTTAAAGCAGTCCAAAATGATAACTTCTTGGCAAGACCCTTGGCAATCATATTAATGGGCATTTGGTTCAAAAACTTCTGGATGTTCAGAAAGGTGTGTTATGTTTGAATATGGTTGGGTCACATTGAATGTGATTTTATTGACTGGTTTCACTCCAAAAAGTGACAGGTAATATAAAAGTGGGATTTTGGATTTCTACTTTTACTCCCTATCATTGAGAAATGCAAAATGTGGATAGGGGAGCATAAAATATTTAAAGAGAATTCTAAATTCTGACAGGCAGAAACTTTTTTTGTACTGAGTTAGAAAGGGTGGTTTCAATTTTTTAGGAATGTTGCAAACCCTATTGGTAAGAAATGCATTTGTGGCTCCTAGTTCATTCAAATGCTCTGATCTATATATTCATTTTAAGTGCATGCTGGATAATGAGATCATTGCATATGCATACCAGAACTTAATAACCATTCCCTAGACTGCACAATGTGAAGGAAACTATGGGCAAGCTGGTTTTCACCTGTTCCTCAGTGATTCAAACCTGCATCCACCAGAAGGCAAACTGATATTTTTCTTCAACAAATTAAACTGCATAACATTTGTACAGAGGAAAAAAATAGCTTCTCCCCTAATGTTATATCCTGAAATCATATTCTCAAAAATGTATGCATTCATTGGATTGTTGAAGGCAATGTAAGATTTTATTTTATTCTCCCATTACTCACTCAGATACTTAAGTAAATATTTAGAGAATGATAACCTAAATAGCCATACAAATATTTAGGTTTAATAATAATAATAATAATAAAGTTGGAAGGGACCTTGGAGATCATTTAGTCCAACCTCATGCTCAGGCAGGAAACCCTATACCATTTCAGACAAATGGCTGTCCAGTCTCTTCTTAAAGATTTCCAGAGCATTGGAGCATTCACAGCTTCTGGAGGCAGGTTGTTCCACTGGTTAATTGTTCTAACTGTCAGGAAATTTCTCCTTACTTCTAGGTTGCTTCTCTCTTTGGTTAGTTTCCATCCATTGCTTCTTGTACTGCCTTCAGGCACCTTGGAAAATAGCTTGACTCCCTCTTCTTTGTGGCAGCCCCTGAGATATTGGAACACTGCTATCATGTCCCCCCTCGTCCTTCTCTTCATTAGACTAGACATACCCAATTCCAGCAGCCGTTCCTTATATGATTAGTCCCCTAATCATCTTTGTTGCTCTTCTCTGTACTCTTTCTAAAGTCTCAACATCTTTTTTACATTGTGGTGACCAAAACTGGATGCAATATTCTAAGTGTGGTCTTACCAAGGCATTGTAAAGTGGTATTAACACTTCACATGATCTTGATTCTATCCCTCTGTTAATGAAGTCTAGCACTGTGTTGGCTTTTTTTGGCAGCTGCAGCACACTGCTGGCTCATATTTAAGTGATTGTCCACTAGGACTCCAAGATCCCTCTCACAGTTACTACTATTGAGCAAGGTACCCCCTATACTATACCTGTACATTTGGTTTTTCTTGCCTAAATGTAGAACCTTACTTTTTCACCACTGAATTTCATTTTGTTAGATAGCACCCAGTGTTCAAGTCTGTCCAGATCCTCCTGTATCTCAAGCCTATCTTCTGGATTGTTGGCTATTCCTGCCAGCTTGGTGTCTGCAAATTTGATGAGTTCCCCATCTATCCCTTCATCCAAATAATTGATGAAGATGTTGAAGAGCACTGGACCCAGAACAGAGCCCTGGGGCACCCCACTATTTCGATATGTGTTATTGACAAGATCACATTGTGTCTTTTTGTGGCATTATGTTGTTACAAGTACCAGCAAATCCAAGTTTAATGCTTCCTGTGAAAACAAATATATATCCATGGAAAGGCAGAATTTGAAAGAAGAGTTATTCTTGCAGGTCTAATTTAAATAGTGATTTTATGACCTGGGTCAGAATTCATTCAGTCTCCTGGCTATGTGCTCAGCTCTTAGAGAACAC